GTCCAACCCTTGTTGCAGGTGACAGGTGCATGGACACCTCCAGGCGGATGGTGAGGTAGGGGCTGGGGTTGCACTGCCTCAGCCCATAAATGCCTCATGCCTCCCAAGGCTGGGGGGGCACAGTGACCACCTACAAACAGCAGCAGCGTGGCAGGCAGGCACAGTGATGTTGGCAGCAAGGGAAGGCTGAGCAGGGACCGCCCACAGGCAGCCACAGCAGTGTCGGCAGCGAGGGGGTGGTGATTGGCAACTGCCTGCAGACACTGCTGGCAGCATTGGTGGTGGCCAGTCTCAGGGGTTACACGTACACCTGCATGCACTCCCTACATGTCACCAATGCCTCAGCCCTTTCCCCACTGCTTGCTCCATGCTACACATGCAGCTGCCACTGGCCATGGGGCCCGGGCTTGCAGCAAGCAACGGACAGGCTGTAAACAGCCGCACCAGGGTCCAGAGCCCTGCTTCCTTTCCGTGACCCGTGGCCAGGGCAGTGCAACCTTAGCTTCTCCCCTGCCAGCAATGAGCTGGGCAGGGGCTCTGCAGACCTCTACTGCAGTGACTTGCAACCTTCCAGCCACCTGCCACAGCTAGCCTGGGCTCTGGGCAGGCCCCTGCCACCCTCCATGGAACCTGGGCTGCTCGTGGTAAGCAGCAGGGAGGCTGTAAACAGTTACACTGAGGTAGACTGAGCGCCAGCCTGACTCATTGGCAGCAGCTGCACATACGTCTCCAAGGGCAGCAAGGGGGGGGCCATGGTTGTATGGAAAATGCATGGAAGATGTCTGTATAGAATATAGACAGGAATACTTCACCTAGGTGAAGTCCAAAGGTGTAACAAGAAGGCTCTGGGCAGCAAGACTGTCTGCAAGGCATACAGCAGCCTTGAACAGTATAACATTTTGTGTGCAATAAATCCCAGCTAATGGATCCACCTGCAGGATTGTGCCGAGTGCCAGGTAAGCAGGAGATATTCAGAGTTCAGGTTAGGGAATGCAGAACACACATACATGCTCACACATGGTAAATTCCCCGGTCTGCAACGGCAGTGATCAGCAAGTCCTGTAATGTTGCCTTGCAGGGCTGTCGACAGAATATCCTGTCTTTTATTCCTATTTGTTGTTTTTATTTCTTTACCCTTTGCCTGCACCCAGATTGAGATCTGTTTAGAACAGAGAATACTCCTTTTGAATATCTGGGAAGCCTCTCATGTATGGCAAGTACTAACATAGATTAATAATAAAAGGTTCAAATTCATCCCTGATTTTGATATTAAGCCACACTGCAACATCTGATGTTCTAGGCTGTGTTTAAGTATTATGCAAGATTTTAGCCATATGATTGCTTGTGCTTGCCCCCCCTCCCTTTGAACCTTCATGAAAGATAATTTAGTTGTTCTATAACAGGGCAGAAAAATCTCAGGACACCTTTTTAAGAAGTAATCTTTTAGGTAGACAAAAGGAAGTCAGTGAAATGCACTAGGAATGAATAACATGCAGTGCTGACCTTCTGTGTTCTGCATTACCTTATTTCAACTCTGTTTCTCACCTGCAGTCTCATTGCTAGCTATGGGTAGATAAACCTATTTGCCATTTTAAATGTTACTGTATTTCCCATGGTACAGTGAACCTTTGAAGTTGTTGGCCTACAAATGCTTTGACTATAGCGCACCATGGGCTCCATACAGCAGTAGTAAAAGGTTTTCCATCTATCTCCAGTTTGTAAATAAGCTGTACTAATGTTGTATTGCCTTAATCAATCAGGGCAGTGAGCACAGTATGGGTCAGGTTTATAAACCTATTCTGTATTTATAATTAATGAGAGCAGGGAAAAGAGAATACCTGTTCTACATTGCTAAAAGTGAAATGGAAATGCTGCTTTCAATTGGGAACAGATTTTCACCTTCTTGTGCCCTATTTTTGTTGTTTAATTTGTGCAAGATTGGTCAACTGCCTAAATTGCCCTTGATGGGGAAGTGTTTTTGTGGAATGTGATGAGGATGTGGTAAAGTAGTAAGTATTAAAGCGGTAAGCTCAAGGACAGGGAGATGGGTGCAGAATGTGGACAGTGTGCATGTTACAAGTCTCTTGGCATAGGAAAAATCGCAGGAACAGGGCATCACCTAGGAAAAAGCATTCTAATAGACTGGCAGATGGGCCTAGATCAGAACAGGGGGCTTGAATCTAGCCAAACCCCAACCTGCAGTGGAATATGGCTTTGTAATTTGTGACCCAGGGCTGCCTTTATAATGGCTAAAGAGTGGCATTACACCCGAGGCCCCGTGTGCCTGAGATGCATGTTTAGACCCCATATTTGTGAAAAGTTGCTTTCTAATGAAGTTGTGGATTGGTTGCTCTGACAGGTGGTCTCTGCTGAAGAGGATTTCTTTAGGCATAGGAAAAACAGAGGTGTGCAGGATTTGATTTGGCCCCTTATTTTAGTATTGCCATGACTTATGGACTAGATTTCAAGGGGTTTTCTGATGACTACTAAATAGTCCAGAATGTTTTCAGCCTGATGGCAGCAATATATTTTTTTCATGCTTAAAAGGAGTGTCCTGTTAGGCAAAACAGTCATTATGCTCAGGCTATTTGCTGGTTACCAGCTTTAATTGAAAATACAGCGAAAAGGAGTTTAAAAGATCTTTGATCTTATTTTCTTCAGGAGCTTTGAAAAATGCAATGAATTAAATTCTTCAACAGCTTGTTGGAGTAACTGGTATTATCAACCAAGGCACAGAGGGATAGTTTATGAAAGATTTGGCCAAAGGCAGAAACTGGACCCAGAAAGCCTAACACCTGTTCTCTTCCCCTGACTTAGGTACTTTACTCCCTACTTACCTCCTGAGTAAATAAAATGAGATTTGTCTCTGTCCTGTAGAAAATGATATATAGATAACTCAGTATTTTGGGGTCAGGAGATCATAAACCAAATGTGGGTGGGCAGGTCTTAGACACCTTTCAAAATAAAATGGCTTTCTTGATAATCTTGACTCGTTTCTGTAACGTAGCTTGCATAGTCATGTCTGTTGTTTTTATTGTTGCATTTCCCTTTAAGTTATGCATTGCAATGTAAATCACCCTGAATTCACTGTCACCTTGCATTACGTTCCACAGCATGATCCACTGTGATGTGACTGATACAATCTGACTTGATGTCACATCGTGTTGTCTCCCACAGGGAGGCAGAAAGGACACCCTTTCTTATAGCTTATAAGTGTCTTAAAAAGTTGCTCACAGATGCGTAGGGTCCCCCCAGTTCTCTCTTCCCCCCTCCCCACTCCTCCTTAACAGACTGCCCTGGGGTGAGGCATTAACTCTTATTTGGCGCTAGTATTGAGCTCAGTCCTGCAAAGCTCTGAGCACTCAGGTCAAGCAAACCATGTGCTTAGCTTTTCCGCCTGTGAAGAGTTCAATGACTTGAATGGGGCTATTTACCTGAGTATGTACTTTGCTGGTTTTGGATGAGACGGCTGCACAGCCATTAAGAACCCCTCCTGTGTTCTTTTGGAGCTGTGGTTTTTGCACTGGTTACTCCATTTCTGCTTGTCTTCCCGAAATGATTGCCTGAACCTTGAATGAGTACAGACCATCTTTCTGGAAAAGGGAGAATTTCTTATTAGCTTATTTAACAGAGTATTTCTGCTCAGATAACAACTCAGTTTATATGAATTCCAATAAATGGGGCATATGTACTGATCAAAAATATAAAACACATTGAAAAAAGGCCAAAACCTATAGCACACTTGTTTATATGCATATATAATGCTAATAATGTGACCGCACAACAGTTTCTCAGATACTCCAGTTAACAGTGCCCTTATAGTACTCCTCCGTAGTAGTGTCGCACTTGCCTGAAGATGTAGGAGCAGTTCATGTCCAATAGTTTAAGAACAACAGAAACGCAGGCTACGTAGATAAAAGCCGTCTGCGTCAAGCCTGCTATTGAATTAGCTGGAATTGGGAAGGGTGCACAAGGCGCTCCAGTAGTAAGGATGATGAGCCTGGGCAAGTCTTTGAGACTCTCTGTGCCTCAGTACCACTTTCCTACCATGGAGGGGTGTTGTGAGGATAGATCCAGAAATGTTGTGAAGTGTTTACACACCATGGTAATGGAGGGGCAACTACATATATACCAGATAGAGAAAAGGGTAAACATGCATTGAATTGTTCTGTTAAAAAAGAGAGTGTGTGTTTGTGTGTGTGTGTGTGTGTAAAGGATATTTAAAAGAAATGCCTTAACTCCTGCAGAAGTTCAGGTTTTCCCTTGCCAGTTGTCCTGTAGGTTCTGAGATGGTGATTACGTTTGATGTAATACTTAGATGTGCTTCAAACAGCCGTGTGGCTCATTTACAAAATGCACGACATACTGCAGGAGCTGGGGCTGCAGAGCCCAAGTTCATTAGTGGCACAAACAGTCTCCTGGAACTATATCCACACTCTCTGCTCCGAGTGCACAGGGCTTCCAGGAGAAATACACTGATGAGAATGCAAATGAAAAGCATTGTGGCTTCATAATAGCCTGGCTGTTCTTTAGCTGTGTGTTATCCTCCTCTGGAGCTGAGGAAGAGCTTATGAAGATCTTACTGTCTAGTGATCCTTTTGCAGCAAGCCCGAGCATTAATGTTGCTAATGGAGGATATAATCTTGCTCAAGCGCTTGAGAATGTGTAGTTTTCAGAACTGATGTACGTGTAATCTCTGCAAGATGTGGGAGTCTTTTTATCTGAGTTTGTACAGCAACTAGCACAATGGGACCTCAAACTTAACTTGACGTTTGGAGAGCATTATAATATTAGTCATTAATAAAAACAGCAATGAGCTCTTTTCCTTGTATATCATAGATGTGCTGTAATTGGGATGTGTGTATGTGCGTTTGTGTGTGTGTGTGTACCTCTATACACATCCACTGGTTCGTGACCAATTTTCTTTCTAGGGAACTGCATTAGACTTTGGCACTACTCCGCCCATTTAAAACTCATTGGTGTTTTCCCTTTCGTTCCAGGGGACGGTCAGGTTGATTTTGATGAATTTATGACCATTCTTGGACCTAAACTGGTGTCGTCAGAAGGGAGAGATGGTTTTCTTGGAAATACAATAGACAGTATATTTTGGCAGGTAAGTGAGAATCTTTTAAAAGCAGCATCAACCGGAAAACATGCCCATCTCAGAAAATAGTGAGTGATGTGACAGCGGAAATATTTTGCTCACAATGAACGCTTGTGCAAATCTTTCCGTTCCATTGTAATCCACATTGTGGAAAACCATACCAAGTTGGTGGAGTGTCTTACTGCGAGTGTGAAGCACTTTCTGAATTCTGCATGTGAAGAAGAGAGAGAATTTGCCAGTTTGTGACTTCCATAGAACTGCTTTTTGAAAACACTTGGATACTTTTGTAACTCATTTCAGGAATTTCAGACCTTGGCTTTTCAAGGAAAAACCTATTTTAAAGATTGTCAGATTAGCGTGAGGCAAAAAACCAGAAGCATGCTCTTTAGCACTGTTCACCAGTCTATTGCATTGTTTCTTCCTCAAGACACTGGATTTCACTCTTTCATTATCTGCTTGGTAACTCCAGGCAGACTGAAATGATCAAATGTATGGTGTGTGGGATGTATCAGATTGTTACTTGTTTGTGTGTGGTGGTCTGAAGGTGAGTCACATTTTGAGTTTCAAGTGGGGAATAATGATAGATGCTATGTTTCCCTGATGTTACTGTACTACGGTGGTTCAGATTCCATGGAAATTGAATCCTTTGTTGAGGATCGCAATCTCACATTGCCAAAACTGGGGTGAGTTTTTGCAGCATACATACATATGTATACATACATTTAATCACTGTTCTAAGCTTTTCAGAATTCATTTTATGACAAAACTGATCAGAATTACAGCAGGGAAGAATTATGCCCTGCCCGCATTTCCAAAAATACTGAAAAGGTTCACGAGCCTTAGGGTTTCAAGACATGAGCAAGTCTCTGTTGAAAATTAGGAAGAAACATTCCCTGTTTCATAACTCGCCCACTGCCGACTTCCTTGCACCTTTCCCAGTGGAGATGGCCTTACCTGTCATTGGAGGCAGGATACTGGACTTAATGGACCGTTGTATCCAAAAGGGCATTTTTTTGTAATATTGTTAGTCAGGGGCAATCAGCATGGATTTATTAGGGGGAGATCATGTCAGACCAACCTGATTGCCTTCTATGATCAGGTCACAAAGGCCATGGATGCAGGTGTCGCGGTGGATGTAGTCTTTCTGGACTTCAGCAAGGCCTTTGACACCGTCTCTCACCCCATCCTAGTTAAAAAACTAGGTGACTGTGGCATCGATGCCTACACAGTCAGATGGA